AGCAGCAGTGAGCAGAATCTCCAAGTCTGTCCTGTCAAAACTACCGCTGCTTTTGCGTTTGTGTCTTCCGCTGCCAGTTTGAACGTGTTTATAGAGAATAATGGTCTTCCTCACTCTCACAGTGAATCGCAGTCGTTATGGTGCAGGTCACTGATGAGGGACTTCATCAGGCGTGTTACTGATATTTAGACATACATCCCATTTCATAGCTCATTAACCTAATGCTGCTCTATCCAGGCCTGTCTCTGCTTCAGCCTCTTACTCCATCTCCTCCTGATTCGCTGGACAAAGATCCTACATTTTCACAGATTGGACTGGAATGAACTAGAACGAAGGCAGGGCAGGTTTATTTGTATAGCACAGGTCATACACAGGGAAAATAAAAGTCCTGAACAAAACAAGAGCGTGTTCTTATTTGTCAAAGCCCTGAGCTCCGGGCGTCATGCTGAGCTCGCACTTCTACAGCGGACGCAAACACATGATTCACCCCAAACACGCTGAGACGCCGGCCGCCTCCTGCCAGCAGGGGGCGCTCTGAGAGGGAGGAGGCCAACATTTATTTGTGGGACTCTTGACCATCATAAGCCCTGACTTCAGTTTAGTGTGGGGCGAGAAGGGTGTATTTCTGTTAGGGCTGAAACATTGAATAAATAATCACTAACTATGAATTTGCTTTGTCTCAAGGAGTAAAAAGGTGAACACAAGGAACAATGTAACATTTATGTCTTAAAATTACTAATTATACAAATGCACTACACAATACAATACACTACGCATACACAATACACTACGCACTACACAAATGCACTACGCACACACAATACACAATACACTACGCACTACACAAATGCACTACGCACACACAATACACATATATACTGTATATACACATTTAGAAGAACAGATGCGACTCTTGTATTTCCCTAAATCACTGATCACAGCATCAAACACAGAGACCACATGGTATTGGACCATAGGGAGAGACCACATGGTATTGGACCATAGGGAGAGACCACATGGTGTTGGACCATAGGGAGAGACCACATGGTGTTGGACCATAGGGAGAGACCACATGGTATTGGACCAAAGGGAGAGACCACATGGTATTGGACCATAGAGAGACCACATGGTGTTGGTCCATAGAGAGAGATCACATGGTATTGCACCAAAGGGAGAGACCACATGGTATTGGACCATAGGGAGAGACCACATGGTATTGGACCAAAAGGAGAGACCACATGGTATTGGACCAAAGGGAGAGACCACATGGTGTTGGTCCATAGAGAGAGACCGCATGGTATTGCACCAAAGGGAGAGACCACATGGTATTGGACCATAGGGAGAGACCACATGGTATTGGACCAAAGGGAGAGACCACATGGTATTGGACCAAAGGGAGAGACCACATGGTATTGGACCAAAGGGAGAGACCACATGGTATTGGACCATAGAGAGAGACCACATGGTATTGGTCCACGAGCGGACTCCGAGACCCGACAAAACCTGCAGAATTTCTGCCGAAGCAAAAACCAAAGTGGCAAGATGGCTCGTCTGTAGTTTTTGTTGTATTTTTTGTTTTACTTGTAAACATGTATTTATCCTTCCATCATGTATCCATTCTCACACGTTTAGACAAAGCAGTGGAAGGGAACAACATCTAGTATTGAGTCATTGTGTGTCTAAATTACAACAAAGAAAGAGCCGGAGTGATAATAGAGTTATCATATCATTTTAATGAATATTTAATGCATTATCTTTAAACTAAAGCCTGGTTCACACGGCAGGATAATTAGGCCGATTTTGGACCCGATTTACCCGATGTAGTGTTGGCATAAGCCCTATTCGGACTGGATTAGTACTAAATGATCAGACTCATGGTTGTGTTTGTTTACTTTGCACTCTGTCCTAATACAGTACAGACGTGTTACTGCAGCCGTTACTGCAGCCGTGCTTGTTGGTTTGAGCGTATGTAAAGTTTCATGTGTAGCAGTGTGTGTGATGCGTTCACAGGTCGTCCGTACAAACTGTATTGTTGAACAGACAGAACGGGCCAGAGAACTGTAGAGCAGTAAAATCCACATGTGTTTGTCCTCATGGTGTCTGTGGCTGCTGTGGTCAGACCAGAGTCTCTATAGGCTGCTGTGGTCAGACCAGAGTCTCTGTAGGCTGCTGTGGTCAGACCAGAGTCTCTATAGGCTGCTGTGGTCAGACCAGAGTCTCTATAGGCTGCTGTGGTCAGACCAGAGTCTCTATAGGCTGCTGTGGTCAGACCAGAGTCTCTATAGGCTGCTGTGGTCAGACCAGAGTCTCTATAGGCTGCTGTGGTCAGACCAGAGTCTCTGTAGGCTGCTGTGGTCAGACCAGAGTCTCTGTAGGCTGCTGTGGTCAGACCAGAGTCTCTATAGGCTGCTGTGGTCAGACCAGAGTCTCTATGGGCTGCTGTGGTCAGACCAGAGTCTCTATAGGCTGCTGTGGTCAGACCAGAGTCTCTATAGGCTGCTGTGGTCAGACCAGAGTCTCTATAGGCTGCTGTGGTCAGACCAGAGTCTCTGTAGGCTGCTGTGGTCAGACCAGAGTCTCTATAGGCTGCTGTGGTCAGACCAGAGTCTCTATAGGCTGCTGTGGTCAGACCAGAGTCTCTATAGGCTGCTGTGGTCAGACCAGAGTCTCTATAGGCTGCTGTGGTCAGACCAGAGTCTCTATAGGCTGCGTGAAGCAGAGAGGCCTGCACACTCTGTTTACTCTGAAGTCATGCTTGTGTGATGTGTGTGGTTTGCGTGATTTTGCCGTGTGGCTGCGCACCACACACTGTACGACCAAAGTGGTTAGACCCATGATTTTCTCCGTGTGTGGGGTCTCACACGGAGAAAAAATCGGCCGACAATTTTAAAATCGTCTCGTGTGAACCAGGCTTAATTGTGTTGTCAAAGTTCACTGTGAATGCATGTTACTTGCTAACTGTTGTCTTTCATGTTTGCATTGTAAGTAAGTTAGTAAGTAAGTTTTTATTTATATACCGCCTTTTCACTGCAGATCTGAGTCTCAAAGCGGTTTACAATTGTTAATTTTGGGCATTTGTCTCTCACTCCACACAGAGATGAGCGGGGCCAGTACAGGAGGCGCATGCCAGAACTATTGGACATATTTTTAGTGGTAGGGGAAACCGGAGTGCCCGGAGGAAACCTACGCAGACACGGGGAGAACATGCAAACTCCACTCAGAAAGGCCCTGGTCCGACCGGGATTCGAACCCAGGACCTTCTTGCTGAGAGGCGAGAGTGCTATCCACTCAGCCACCGTGCCGACATTGTTGATGTCACTAAGTTTGGTGAAGTGATTTTTGCGTTGTCAGCTTTTGGTGAGACTGGAAACCTTTTTTGGCTAAAATGTTTGAACTGTGTCAACAAACTAATGGTTTGGGACATATGGAATCTTTGGAGTGACAATAATGTGACCGTGATGTAGGTGTGGTTTTGTCTAAATAAATAAACCTGTGACCTAAGGAGTTCAGTGCACGCACGGTCACGGCACCAAGATCAGAGATGTGCCGTGACCATGCAGGCGCTCCTTAATAAAAATGATGCTTGTCTGTTGTGTTGTCTTTGTCCAGGTACTGTAGTTTATTACCATCTTTAACACGGAGGAACTGATAAAAACTGCTGTATTTTGTCTCAGCAGAGAACACCCACTCACCAAAAGCAGGTCTTTTCACCAAACCTTTTATTACGCTCACATTTAATAACAATTATTATAATGTGTCGACTTTATACAGCGCTTTTAGACACTCCTTATGGGCATTATTCTTTTTCCTCCAAACATTACTGATAAACTACTACTGTAGCCACAGCTGCCCTGACCACCACCAACCATTCACACACACCTGGTGGCACCTGGTGTTCCCAGAGGTCTCCCATCACAGTGCTAACCAGGCCCTGCCCTGCACAGCTTTCACAAACACATGGTGACACTATTGGTTCCTACAATATAAAGTGTGTTACTGTGTTTATGTCTCTACTGTCTCTTATCTGGCGCCCGAGGCAGCGGCACTTTCTATTGAAATTGATGGACACATAAAAGTGACATTGATTTGGTTGAACCTGAGCTTCCACTTGTTTCAGCTTCGTTTTTCATCACCGTCTTCAAACGAGTCCTCATGATTTATGTCATAGTGAGTAGAAGGCTGTGCTAAAAACTATATTAGATTTTTAGATGTGTTCAATTAAAATAATGATACAATATTGATTTTTGTAAGTAGTGTTTTTCCCAATGTTTTGCCTCTGACTGAACAGATGTATGAATACATATAGATCTATTTGATTTCAACATTATTACTTTCTTATTTCTTTTTCCGTGTGCAATAAATGTATAATACAGACCAGACAAATCTAGTAGTTAGTAGTAATTAATATTCAATACATTGAATACAAAAGCTCCAATAGTGTTGTATTTTGTTAATATTCTGCGGATTATTACAAAAGAGGTAAAAAGACCACAATTTTTTCATTGAATCGTATCATATTGTTTTGAAATATTTCTTATTGAATTGAAGTATTTGATAGATTGGTACCAGCAGGAAGTGTCCCCAGCCCTGATATTAAGTGTCCTGTCTTCTCTCTTGGCATTCTGTCCTATTTCTCTCTGTCACGTGTTTTATATCTCATGCATTATATTTGTATGTATATATATATATATATATACAATATATATATATATATATATATATATATATATGTATTTCATGCATGTTTGAAATAAACAAAAAGTAGTATTGCGTTGAAAATCAGATTCAGTTTATTTGCCTCCTCCAATCCCACAGCGTTTCTGAGCTGCACCACGGCATAACCCGGTATTTAAGTCCATCTTTTTTGAGTATTTAAAATGGAAGACGCATCACATTTTTATGAAGGCCTAGAAAACCTTGAGAATATCCGGCGCTTCTAATCCTTTACCTCTTAGCATCGCTGCTATTACTGATAAGAGCACAACAGACGGTAAAACCATTCAATCCATCGGGGAGGGCCATGCATTAACCTTAGACTGATGCTTAAATGTCACAGACCCTGCCGAGGCGGGAACAAACGGTCCCCGTGGCAACACTTCCTGTATCCATGGTGGGTGTGGGAGACCGTTCCAACTCTCGTTCCAACTCTCGTTCAAACTCTCGTTCTCGTTCCAACTCTCGTTCTCGTTCCAACTCTCGTTCTCGTTCCAACTCTCATTCCAACTCTCGTTCCAACTCTCGTTCCAACTCTCGATCAAACTCTCGATCAAACTCTCGATCAAACTCTCGATCAAACTCTCGATTAAACTCTCGATCAAACTCTCGATCAAACTCTCGATCAAACTCTCGATTAAACTCTCGATCAAACTCTCGATCAAACTCTCGATCAAACTCTCGATCAAACTCTCGATTAAACTCTCGATCAAACTCTCGATCAAACTCTCAATCAAACTCTCGATCAAACTCTCGCAGTCACTCTCTCACTCGCAGTCGCTCTCTCACTCGCAGTCGCTCTCTCACTCGCAGTCACTCTCGCAGTCGCACTCGCAGTCGCTCTTGCAGTCGCTCTCGCAGTCACTCTCGCAGTCGCTCTCTCACTCGCAGTCGCTCTCTCACTCGCAGTCGCTCTCTCACTCGCAGTCGCTCTCTCACTCGCAGTCGCTCTCTCACTCGCAGTCGCTCTCTCACTCGCAGTCACTCTCGCAGTCGCTCTCTCACTCGCAGTCACTCTCGCAGTCGCTCTCTCACTCGCAGTCACTCTCGCAGTCACTCTCGCAGTCGCTGTCGCAGTCACTCTCGCAGTCGCTCTCTCACTCGCAGTCACTCTCGCAGTCACTCTCGCAGTCGCTCTCGCAGTCACTCTCGCAGTCGCTCTCTCACTCGCAGTCGCTCTCGCAGTCGCTCTCTCACTCGCAGTCGCTCTCGCAGTCACTCTCGCAGTCGCTGTCGCAGTCACTCTCGCAGTCACTCTCGCAGTCTCAGTCACTCTCACAGTCGCTGTCGCAGTCACTCTCGCAGTCTCAGTCACTCTCGCAGTCTCTGTCACTCTCGCAGTCTCAGTCACTCTCACAGTCGCTCTCTCACTCGCAGTCGCTCTCGCAGTCACTCTCGCAGTCGCTGTCGCAGTCACTCTCGCAGTCTCAGTCACTCTCGCAGTCTCAGTCACTCTCACAGTCGCTCTCTCACTCGCAGTCACTCTCGCAGTCACTCTCGCAGTCACTCTTGCAGTCACTCTCGCAGTCACTCTCGCAGTCACACTCGCAGTCGCTCTCTCACTCGCAGTCACTCTCGCAGTCGCTCTCGCAGTTGCTCTCGCAGTCGCTCTCTCAGTCGCAGTCGCTCTCTCACTCGCAGTCGCTCTCGCACTCGCAGTCACTCTTGCAGTCGCTCTCACACAGCTTCAGTATTGAGTTGTGTTGACAGTCCATCACACAGAGGTGCCATGTGAGCCACTGCGTCTCTCCTGCATCAATAATAATGACACATGTGAAAGATAAGACGCTGCAGAGATTAAAAACTGTCGCTGGTAATTAACGTAAAATCAATAAAAGAGAAATGTTGATCATCATCGGTGGAAAAATACAGAAGAAGCATTTTCATATAGTCCTTAGTCTGTTTCCGGGTTCAAAGTTGCCTCTGTCTTTAAGGGCCTTGGCCATAGCTGCAGACCTCTTAAGCTAAGCAATGCAGGGTCTGATTGGTGCTGTGATGGGAGACCTCTGTGAACACCAGGTGCCACAGTGGGGCGGCTGCGGCTGTAAAGTGCTCCCGTCTCCCACTGTCTCCCACCGGCTCCCTCTGTCTCCCACCGGCTCCCACCGGCTCCCACCGTCTCCCACCGTCTCCCACGGGCTCCCTCTGTCTCCCACCGTCTCCCACCGGCTCCCTCTGTCTCCCACCGTCTCCCACGGGCTCCCTCTGTCTCCCACCGTCTCCCTCTGTCTCCCACCGGCTCCCTCTGTCTCCCACCGTCTCCCACCGGCTCCCTCTGTCTCCCACCGTCTCCCACCGGCTCCCTCTGTCTCCCACCGGCTCCCACCGGCTCCCTCTGTCTCCCACCGTCTCCCACCGGCTCCCTCTGTCTCCCACCGTCTCCCACGGGCTCCCTCTGTCTCCCACCGTCTCCCTCTGTCTCCCACCGGCTCCCTCTGTCTCCCACCGTCTCCCTCTGTCTCCCACCGGCTCCCTCTGTCTCCCACCGTCTCCCACGGGCTCCCTCTGTCTCCCACCGTCTCCCTCTGTCTCCCACCGGCTCCCTCTGTCTCCCACCGTCTCCCACCGGCTCCCTCTGTCTCCCACCGTCTCCCACCGGCTCCCTCTGTCTCCCACCGGCTCCCACCGTCTCCCACCGGCTCCCACCGTCTCCCACCGGCTCCCACCGTCTCCCACCGGCTCCCTCTGTCTCCCACCGTCTCCCACCGGCTCCCTCTGTCTCCCACCGTCTCCCTCTGTCTCCCACCGGCTCCCTCTGTCTCCCACCGTCTCCCTCTGTCTCCCACCGGCTCCCTCTGTCTCCCACCGTCTCCCTCTGTCTCCCACCGGCTCCCTCTGTCTCCCACCGTCTCCCACGGGCTCCCTCTGTCTCCCACCGTCTCCCTCTGTCTCCCACCGGCTCCCTCTGTCTCCCACCGTCTCCCACCGGCTCCCTCTGTCTCCCACCGTCTCCCACCGTCTCCCACCGGCTCCCTCTGTCTCCCACCGGCTCCCACCGTCTCCCACCGGCTCCCACCGTCTCCCACCGGCTCCCACCGGCTCCCTCCGTCTCCCACCGTCTCCCTCTGTCTCCCACCGGCTCCCACCGTCTCCCACCGGCTCCCTCTGTCTCCCACCGGCTCCCTCTGTCTCCCACCGTCTCCCTCTGTCTCCCACCGTCTCCCTCTGTCTCCCACCGTCTCCCTCTGTCTCCCACCGTCTCCCACCGGCTCCCTCTGTCTCCCACCGTCTGCCTCTGTCTCTCTCTGTCTCCAAACTGTAATATATTGTTTTCTAAATGAGGAAAACTCATTGTCTAATTGAATTGCTCATGTCTTAGTTGTGCACAAAGCAGACAGACCATCTGTCCTATGTAGCAGCGTCCCACTGGGCTGCAGGAGACACCTGACAGAACTCCCACAATGCACTGCTGCTCTGACTATAATCAGTGCTCACTTTTGCTTGGATTTGGCTTCACACAGCATTGATTCTTTCACAAGTGTGGAAGTTTCCATCTGCTAAATGCAGTTTCAGATTCAGTTTATTTGTCATTTGCAGTAAAACCACATTGGAATACATGTGCAAAAACACATCAATAAAACCATGTAAATTACTGTTTTTGAACCAAATCAACAAATAGGTTTGAATTACCAAAGATAAATAGATCCCAGTGAGGTCCTCGTTTCTCACTCGTGTCACTCTCAAACTGAGCCAGAAACTAGTTTGATGGATTTTATTACATTTTTTAATTTGTTGTGGTTTGAAAGAAAGTTAAGATCCATGAGATCCTGCGCTGGTCCCACAGGAAAGTTCAGTGTTGCATCAGCAGCTACAGAACAGTGGAGGAGCACACAGAGAAACAAACAATAACTTTATACTAACATCAAATCTCTAACTTTAGCATAAAAAGAAGCAAGTGTAAAGTCTGTATCTTTAGAATGTACTGTTTACAGTTGTACTTGTTAGCAGCACGAGGGTAAATATACAGTGACTCTGTTTTTTACTGATTGCATTTAAAAGTAAAGGATGTGGTGATTATTGAATCAGCAAATTCTCTTTAAAAGCCACAAGTTCAGAAAAGGGTTTAGGGCGGTCGCTTTCAGAATGTTATCAGCGCTGATCCAGAGCTGCCAGACATAATCCAGACACATATATTTATTTATACTTCTGTATCTGGGCCAGTTTCTGCAAAATGGACTCATTTGCACGAATCAGCTCAGTGTGTGATTGTTTCATGACAATGACTCTGCTGACGGAGGCCGAGCCCTGGCTTCCTCCTTCCGCCTCCGTCGAGCAAAGACGTGTCTCAGACGCTCCTGCTTCTGACTGCCTGCTATCTCCTGTTTTTGTCTTTTTCCTGGAGTTTTTCCACAGACAACTTTAACAAGAATGGAAATGATTAACTGGTCCCTCAACGCAATTGATTCTATCTTTTCAACACGTAAGCGTGGGTCTGGAGAGCCCGTGTGCCCGGACGGGACCTCACCAGCGGGGTACACTCTTGACAGCTGGAACAAGTTTCAGCCCCTCTGTCTGTCGACCCTGTCCATTGAAGATTCGGAAAACGTATATATCTTTGGCCTTTTGGTGGTGGGGATCCTCCTGTTTGGGTTTGGAGCGATCCTCTTCTACCGCAAATTCGGAGGCATGGCAGTTCGCAAGATTCACGAGCTGCTGGCCAACAAAATTGATGGGATGTACAAGGAGTTTAGCCGAGTCGTGGTTGAGAGCGCTGTGGCTGGACAAAGGAGAGTGGTGTTGGTGGAACAGTTGATAAAAGATCTCGCAGCTCGTTCACTCGAAGGGAATAAAACATTAAAACATTGGAGATGAGATTGAATGACATTGTTTGTCAGGCTTGAACTCTCTGACCCGGCTTGGATTTGCCCCTGTGTACGGAGGTCTGAGGGCGCCGCAATTCGGATTAATTGGATTTAATAGAATATCTGCCTGTTTTTGACTGCTACATTGCATACAATATTGTCCCCCTCAGGCGATGTGTTTTTCTCCTGCTGTGTCTTCTCTCCACTCTTATCTCATATTCCTCGTCCAAGGCCATAAAACAAGGTCCCCATCTACAACAACTCACACTATTTCAGTCTCCAGCTTGGATCCCGCTCCCCCCGCCTCCCTCTACCTATCCATCTTGCTCCCTCCCTCCCCTCCACTCCTCATTGTGTTTCCGACTCACCCCCTCCCTGATCCCGCCCCCCTCTGACAGCCACATTGGGCCGGCAGTCGGAGGTGCTCATCCCGAGATAAAAATCCGTGGTTTATACAAAGCACAATGTGTCTATCCAATTGTCTGTGAACTGTATGTTATTGCTCTCTGCTGTTTCTTGCTGCACACAGCGCCGCAAATGGCGAAGTGGCACGCTCTCTGCCAAAACAATTTCCAAGTGGTAACTTTGTTACTTACGTGGCAATAAAAATGATTCTGATTCTGATTAATCAGAAGCTACACATTCAACAGTTACTGCTGCAAAGCTTTTACTCCACACATCCTGCCTTTAATTCACAAAAGTCAGATTTTATCAATAGAAAGAAGTCGTTGATAATGGTCCTCATAATGGTCCTCATAATGGTCCTCATAATGGTCCTCATAATGGTCCTCATCGTCATTTATGGTTCTGTCCAGAACATTTAAATCAGAAACATGTGTTTTAGGAGAGGCTTTGATTGGACAAAGCTGGAGCCATGTTCTTTGAGCTTTTGAGGCCTCTTCCTTTTGGTCTGTTATTTACCTCCAGTGAACATGAAGAGATCCTTTATGTGTCTCACTGGGGAATGTTCAGTGTTGCATCACAACTTACAACATATTAAGTGTCGCACAACTCTATACTTAAAAATATATATCTTTAACAATAGTTAAAGCAAAGGAAGGTTTCTCACTCATCATCTGTACTTAGCAAGTTTTCCAGCAAGTTTTCTTCTTAGCAAGTTTTTTAGGGAAAACTTGCTAAGAAGTACAGATGATGGTGAGAAACCTTCCTTTGCTTTGACTAATCCCTGTACGACTGAGGGCTTGCACAAACT